GTCCGACCATCACAAAGCAAGAGACCTGAGAACTAGAAAGGCGAGGCTCACTGAGCCATTTATCCTTCTGTCCTTCAATTAACCCCACATGTGTTTATTGGCCAGGATGGCACAATAAACTACCTCAAGAACCTAGAAAAATTGTACTAATTACTGTCCAACTCCCTCTAAAGAAGTCATTCCAATTTATACTCCCACCAACAGTGGATGCCCTCACGCCCTTGCCTGTGTTGTGCATTATCAAGAAACTCTATCTTTGTTAGCCTAGTAGATAAAAATGATTATTATGATGTTTACCTTTATAATTTTGAGCAAGAGAAATGCTATTTTTATATATTTAACAGCCATGGGATTTCCTTTATCATGGCATGTCCTGCTTCCTTTGACGATTTTTCTGTTAAATTGTTGGACTTTTTCCCTAACATGATGGTTGAGATATTTGCTCTCATTACAAGAGAAGCTGCATATGTGTTCTTTTCCAGTGCATCATTTTAGTCATTTGTCTTTTGACTTTTTCCTGTATCTCAACACATATGGAAATGTGTTGTTTTTTCAAAAGCAATGTGTCTATATAATACAATTTTTAATCTTTTTTATTTTTCTTTTGGGCTTGTACGGCTTTGCCGTTTGTGCCACATTTAAAATGAGTATCACCGCTTGTCATCTTCAGTTAGGGTTTATTTCTACCCTTAAATTTTTGATCCATCTGGAATGTATGATGTTAGAGATCTCTTTTTTATGTACGTATAGGAATAAACTTTTATTCAAAGAGTAATTGATCCTAGTCCAATCCAGATCAAGTCCATAAGTCTGATGTTAGCCCATATGTCCAATACCAGTCTGTAAATTCTCTTCAGGTTCACACAGCACATGCAATGACCCTGAAGGCAGGAAAGTCACAGGCCAGTGGATGGAAAGTCCTGTGGATCCAGTAGCGGTGGAAATATCTCAGTGCTGGCGTGGGACTCCACATGACTCCTCCAGCTCCAGGGCTCTGGCTCCATCAGCACAGCTCCATGTTGCTTTTCAACAGGAATGTCTCGAAGGGAGATGAAGCAGAGAGATACAGTATGTCTGGCCTCCAGTGAGCTACTTACTTCCACCTCGTCTCCAAAGATATGTTAGAGATCTTTATGTCTTTAGATTATCTCTAATGTGTCTTTATTTTTAAAGGTGGCTTCAGAGTTGACCTTTTATTGATGGAGTAAACTTTTTTCTTCATGGGTCTGAAATGTTATTTTATTATATGATACTTTTTGTTGAGTTCATTATCCTTTCCCCATTCATTAGAAATGTCATTTCATTGTATTCCTAAGTCCTACTTATATTTGAGCCCTTTATTAAAATTTTTTTCACTGGATCATTGTAATTACTTTAATATGTATCAATATCTGGTAGGCCTAGTCCCTTTTCCTTGATGTCTATATCAGAAGTGCCCTGGCTACGGTTTTTGACTTATTTTTTTTTTTTAGGTATAAATTGAGAATCCATTTATCTAGTTATAAAAATAAATAATCCAGTTAGTCTTTTGATGAAGTCATATTAGAAATGTAGCCAAATAAAGTGAAAATGGAATTCTTTATGATAACCATTCATTCTAAATAATATAATGTTTCCCTTTTTTCATGTCTGTCTTTATAATCTTAAGTATTCTAAATTTTCTCCACAGAGATCATTTACTTCAAGTAGATTTTTGCGAGGATGGGACCTTGAAAACATATTACCAAGGTCCCACGCCCTAGTGGCACAACAGTTTAGTGCTCAGCTACTAACCAAAAGATAGGCTCAGGCTGGATCCTGCCCAGTGGCTGTGCAGGAGGGAGACCTGGTGATGTGTTTCTGTAAAGACTACAGCCAAGGAAACCTTTCTGGGCAGTTGTATTCTGCCTGATAAGGTCACTGTGAGTCCATGGCAGTGAGATTTGTTCTTATTGTTATTATTATTTATTGTTAGGCGCTGAGGAGATGAGGGTGATAATTACAGAAGTATTTGGTGGTAGAACAGTTATCTCAGGAAAATGGGTTCCTATAGCAACTAGTAGCCTTTCATGTACTCATGTCCAAACACTCACCCAGGGCAAATGTTTCCTTGGCTGGGAATGTGAACCCCATCCTATTCACCAGACCCCCAGACCAGGAAACTACTCTCACTGATTAACGACGGCTGGCCAGCGTGTATTAAGAGACCAACAGATGCTTCCAACAGAAAAACTAAAAATTTGCTTGAGGAGGTAGGGCTGAGCGAAGGAGAATTTGTGCTAAACCACTTCCTGTGCCTTGGATTTCTTTTTTAAAAATTGGCCGCCTTTACCATTTTCTTAGTCACCTCTCGAGGCTCATTGGAGGCGTAGTCCCTCCTAGCAGCCTCCCCATCTGCTGGAACATGGGACCAAGAGAATGATGACACATCTCTCTGTGGATGAGAATACGAAGGGAAAAGAAGTGTACGATTTGCATGAAGCCTATTAATGCCCTCTTCTGAACAATAAAATGGATTTCATATCGAGACAGCAGCTGCAATCACTGCTTCTGGAAATGAGTCTTTGAAACAATCTGCAACGCGGTTGCTTGGCAATTCGGCGGAGCACTGGTTTCACTGCTGCTCTGAATTGCCAAGCCACGTCGTAGACGATCGTTCTTCGCAGTGAAATGCTCTCAATCGTTGACCGCAGGGAGGCATAGCTTTTTCAACTAGTCCATTAGATTCTTCCTTGTGCTCTAAATGCGATTACGTTTCTTGCGTCCCAGTTGTCTCATGTTATCTCAACACACACACACACTTTTTTTTTTTAATCAAAGGAGGGTTTTCCCTCCTTATTGGCAACTATGAAAAAAAATTTTTGGACTTCAGTTAGGAGATTCCTCTGTCGTGTGTACCATGTTAAAACTCGGACAAAGCTCTCCGTGTAAAAAGCAGAGAGGGCCTCCGAACTGAGAAGCTCCTGGGTCTCCCCAGGACGGCGTGGGGGTCGCATCCTCTGGCTGCAGCATCTGGAAGAAGATCCCCGAGATGGGAGGTGCGGGGAGGGGGGAGCCGAGAGGAGGGTGGCGAATAGGAATCACGTGGGCTCCGCCAGCGAACAACCCACGTTAGAGCCGCAAATGAGCAGAATACCAAAAAAACGAAGCGCAAGCCCGCCCGCAGCTCTGCTCCCGCTCTCGGTGCGTGTGCGTTTTCAACTAACTTTGGGAACTTGTAGCTCCAGAGTCGCGCCCGAGCTTGCCACGCCGCCACCGTGGTCTTGCCCGCCTTACCCGCCCTCTTCGGTGGCACCTCTTCCTCTGGGCTAAGGATGGACAATCCCTTTGGCTCCTCGGCTGTGTCGCCGGCGCCCAACGTCTCCATCCCCAATTCGCTGGGCTGGGCTCTCAACCTCACGCCCGCGCAGGAAGTCCCCGCCTGGGGGCCCCCGCCCGGGCCCCGCGTCCACCTGGTCTTCCTCGGGGTCATCCTAGTGGTGGCGGTGGCCGGCAACGCCACGGTGCTGGGCCGCCTATGCCGCGGCGGCCGCCGGCTCGGGCCCGGGCCGAAGCGTCGCCAAATGGACTTCCTGCTGGGACAGCTGGCCCTGGCCGATCTGTACGCGTGCGGGGGCCACGCGC